AAGAATATTTCATTTCCCTTACTAAGGAACAGAGGACTCTATGGAAGACAATAAAAAATAGGCGAGATAGGTTGGTAGGACACCTTCTCAGGCATGAAGGTCTAGTCAGAGACATATTAGAGGCAGAAGCAGGAGTTAGGAGGGGTAGAGGTAGGCCTAAATTAGATTACTCTTCGCAAATAATTAAGGATGTGAGCTGTTCTAGTTTTAGGGAAATGCGAAGTTTAGCTCAGGATAGGAAAGAGTGGAGGTACGTGTCCAACCAGTCTTAGGACTGATGACCTTATGATGATGATGATGATACTAAGGGGTGGTGAAAAATAGCATGCGCTCTAAGGGTGGAAATAAACATGCGACTTGAGAAATTTTTTACTTTTCCTTCTTACGATAATATTATCAAGGGGCTCAAGTTACGTAGGATTATAAGCATACTTGTGGTTTTACGTTGTCATTTCTAGAGAAGTCAAGTAGTTTTGGCTTTTACCGGAGGGCTTAAAATTTACAATGGTGCGTGGCTCACCCGTGACCCATGCAAAAAAAGGCTGGCTATGATCCTGTTCATACATTACGTTTCCAACTTGTGAGATAACCGTGATTACGCGATCTTGACGTAACACATATACTTACGAATATAAACGATTATTTGTGCTTTTTAAACGGTTAAGGTAAATAACGTTGTAAATAATAATCTTAAGGTTACAGTGACACCGACGATGTTTAATATTTGCATTTTTGATAGAGAAAGCATTGTATTCAAGATAATTTTCCGTTAGTACTAACACCATGTAATAAAACGGACCAAAAGGTACCCCTTATACAAGAGAAAATGATTAGGACGAAGGCAATACGTATTACTTTATTAGAAAACAGAAACACTTTTTTTTCTGTGTTTATTTTTAAATTGTAATTCTTTCTGTCTTTGAATGGAAATTTTAATTGTTTACCTCTGACTTAAATGTAATTAAAACTACATTTTCGATACACAAAACATAATTGAATGATATGGAATGTAATTAATCCTCAATTGTTGAGTCTAATTGAGATTGCCACTTTGGGTATCGAAACTCGTTTTTTTAGAATTTCGGGTTTCAAGTTTATTTAACATTTTATATATTCCATTCAAAATAAAGCCCTTTCATTTACATCTTTGAGTTAGACAATAGCAACTATAAAACTTGTTAAAACATAGAATTAGATAAAAGATAAAATTTCATTCACCTCATCTTCGTTAGGAATTCGCCAACTAGATCTCCCGCGCGTTCTTTTGTCAACGACTTATTTGTTTCTCACAATCGTCTGTCTGAAAGATAAAATTGGCCTAAACCTAAACGAAAGTTCGTTACTTTTATTGTGGGATAATGATATGTAAAACAACCGAAAGCCAGTCATCGCCCGATACAATGACCGGGGAGTAGAAAATTCTCCCGCCAGAATTCGCGTCAAAACATCAACGTCCTTAATTTACATTAATGAAATCATCGCATCGATTTGTCCTTTTTCGTATAAGTACACAGGGTGATTCACTTTTTGTATGTGGCCGTTCAAGTATTACGTAAGCAGAGTTTTTGCAATTATTAACCCTCCCTTCCCACATCAGCAAACTTAAGCAAGGCTTTTTTACCCCCCCCCTCCCATGCTTACGTAAACATTGGTACATGCATTTTCAATGTGTTTTGGTTTCTTTATTGATTAATGAGCAGCAGTTATAAATCCCTGAAAATGTGTTTCGTTTTCGAGCATAGACGAGTAGTGTTGTCAATGTGTTCACACCAAAATCGACTTTTTATAGGAAATCCGAAAAAGTATAAAAGTAAATACTGTTGACGTCATCACAATCCAAGAAAAGACCCCCGTCCTGTAGTCTCTAATGCACTAAATGAGGAGTATTGTGATAAGAAATTTTAATTCTCAGAAAATATCACATTAATTTAGTCTAAATTCAGTGTTGTCAAAAAAGGGATTTCTTGCATCTCTTTAAAATCCTCGATAAATTTCGAAAACATTCTGTAAAATCATTATCAATTATGTAGTTTAGGTATTTACAATTGCCTTGTTTCATTCTCAATAATGAATCACTCTGTATATAATGTTATGTATATGCTTACTTCATCTTTAACGTAAGCCAAAATTCTCTTACGTCTGCATCATCGTTCATTGCTTCTTGATGAGTAAGAGACAAATTTGAACCGGAAGATTTCAATTTTCAAAACTCGTTTTTCGTACAGTCTCACCTCTAACTATACAATATAGTCTCAAACGATGAGAAATATTTTATAATCGAGACAGGGTAGGTACTTTTACACACCAGAAACAAATACAATTACCTAATCTTAATCTTCTCGAGCATTTACTTGGATTTTTCTATCATAGTAGGCTTACTAATTTTAAAACCAAATTTATCCTATTTAATATCGTATATTTAAGTGTAAACACTTACTTTAAATATTTTCAGGTAACATTTATAGTCTTTGGTTAAACGTATTGAATAAGAGTTAGTTATTTGATAAAACATGTACCTACAGTTCGAAAGGAAAACATGTTTTGTTAACATTGTTATTGGTGTATACTCTATCTGTTTATCTAAATTAAATATTACTCCCAGAAAAACAATAACAAAAGAAGTAATTTACCTTTTAGTTGTTTTCTAAACAAATTTCTATCTGTTTGAATCACATACCATAAATAGAGTATCGAGAATAGACATAATGGTTTGAAAATATTTGCCTTCATTTGATATTTGTAGGTATATGGGGTGTTTTTTTATGTCTGTTGCCATTTTATTTCGTCAGACAAACAAACACCTTCCTTTAGACAAAAAATAATGAAATATTCATTAATACCAAGGCAATGCCGCGTACCCAAGTAATATGTGTAATAATGTGCATTTTTTAAACCTTAAATTGTAAAGAAAAGTACTACAGCAACTATTAAACTTTGCAAAAGTAACCTCGATATTTAAAATTGTGTAACAACAAATAAAACGTTTCAACTTGAGGTGTTCGTGATCATGTAATCAATTACGTATGTACATAGATGTATTGGTTAAATCAACAAATCCTTAGTCAAATATGTTTTGTTTACATCAGGTTTGTCTGTACATAATTCTGATGTACGAGATGATAATTGTCCCTGAACTATACATACGGTTTAAACTTTAAACATTCTAGAATTGTAAATAAAAAATGGCAATCTTGCCAGGCACTTTTTTGAATTGACTCGACGACAAATAAATTCGATGTTTCTTTATTCTAAATTGTACAGTCACAGATCCTTCTGCCAGAACAAGAGCAAAAATAAGAAAAACAAAAAAGTCCACAAGATACAATACAGAATTGGACAAAGCACTCGTCAAAACAGCTCAAGATTGTAAGTCCAGAACTCTTATTTAAAGTGTTTGAAATATTTTAAAATCCAAGGACTTGAGCCCTTTGAATTACAAATTATGGTGCATATTTATAAAGCAATTTGTTTGTCAATCTCTTACCACTTGTTTATGAATTAACTTAAACTACAGTGTTGTAAATAATTAGCAATTTGTTATGCCCGTAAGTATTTATTTCACATGGGATCCTTACTGTTTGTAAATTAAACTCACCTAATTTTAGGCAGTATCAAATTTCCTAAATTTTAGAGAAAACCGCGTCTAATTTGGTTTAGAAATAGCTAACTTACCCCTTTCTAATATTTCCCTATTTTAGTGGCGCCTAACATTGTTTACTTCCGCATTCTTTCAGTGCACCTGCACTAAATTTGACCTAGTCTTGAATCGATACCATGATGGCCGCCGTCATAACAGTCAATCAAATGCGTCGAGTCTGCTGCAGTACGTTTATAACAATTACACTTGCATATCTAAGTTAGTCACCCGCGGTGCTGTTGAAGGGTGTACTTCGTTGCATCAAATTTAAATTATAATTACGCAAAAATTTTTGGTTTTCTGACTTTATTGTACATAATAAAATTATGTACTAACATAAAATTTATCATAATACGTTTTATGTTTAAATAAGAAAATTTTATAATCATTCACCTCATCTTCGTTAGGAATTCGCCAACTAGATCTCCCGCGCGTTCTTTTGTCAACGACTTATTTGTTTCTCACAATCGTCTGTCTGAAAGATAAAATTGGCCTAAACCTAAACGAAAGTTCGTTACTTTTATTGTGGGATAATGATATGTAAAACAACCGAAAGCCAGTCATCGCCCGATACAATGACCGGGGANGATAAAACATAATACAATCCAACCCAAGTCAATCCAGCGCAATCTAACCTAACCTAACCTAACCTAACTCACCTAACCTAACCAAACCTAACCAGGTCAAACTTGCCCATAGTTAATTCAAAGATATATGAATCTGGGTTATGAGAACAACCTGCAGCAGAGTTATACGCCAAAGATTTACACATTATTTAATCGGGTCGGGGACAAATCTGTGCAAATCATGTCATAATAATGAAAAAAACGTGCATTACATTATTCATACCATATGATACACAATTTAGTTTTGATAATTAATTGGGCAAATAAAATGCAGAAATACATTTATACGTGAATACATCCACAAAACAAATATAAATTAACTTTAAATAATTTTATTTACAAAACTAGAAAAGTTAAGAAAAGTAAATTACCTTTCAGTTTCCAATTATCCCTTTCAGTAGCACACATAAACCAATTATTAAATTAACTACTTATAGGTAGATATTGTACAAAATGTTTTAAAAAACAAACTGCAAATGAATTAATATTTTTTACATCAATTTGGTGCTCGATGCGCCATCTTCTGCAGGATATCTCAATTAGGACTTAAAATTTTGTTACGATTGCGCCATCTTCTAGGGAAGAATTCAACTACTTTATTAAGTCCACCAAATTTAAAAAAAGAACTTCAGTCCTGTAAGTTAGTTTCATCTTCGACTAAAACGTAGTAAAAAAAGATCAAAACACAAGAAATAGAAACGAAGTTATCAGTCCAACATTTATTTATTTGTTTTTAGATATTACAACATTTAAAATGTCTTAACTATTTTACAAGCCTAGTGAAAATTGTAAAAAACTAATTTATAGTGAAAATTTTAAGGAAGATATTAAAAATTATAACTAAAATAAATTACAAATAATTAATTGTGTACATAATAATATTAATTACAACATAAGCTATGCTGCCACTTCCTCATTTGCTGAATCAAACTCCAGTTTGACTTCTTCATGAAGTCCTTCAACATCAACTTCTGATTCAGCAGCATTTAACATATTTAACGTGACTTCTTGCTTTAAAAGCTGTTGTGACTGCTGAATGGTGGTTTGTGTGGGTTGATTTGTTGAAACGGTATTTATTTGTCGGACAGGCAACCCTGCATCTTCAAATGCCTTCTTTTTCAGTGCTGTTCTGATTTGGGATCTGACATTAAAATTTAAGTGTTAAGACACATAATGAAGAAATTGGGACATCAGTAACTTACACAGTGCGTAACTTAATGTGTTCACTAATTTCATTTAAGCCATCAGCAAATGTTTTAACTACAGTTCTCAACATCTCAATTTCTTCATCTGTCCACTTCCTACCAATTTCATATTTTAGTATCAAAGAATAACTTATTTTAAAATACTTACCCTGCAGGGGACTCCGCGTTTGGATGAAGTTGCATTGTCAGGTCCCCAAGTTTATTAAACGCTGCACCAGCTGCTGTAAAAATTTCGCCTACCTAAAGAAATATTACTAAATACATGTAATTCTATTTTGTATCTTTATCCTACCTTACTTGCAGAACTCATTTTTGTTTTTAAATTTCCCAAATATAAACAACTTTGTTGTTTAAATCTAACCTTACTTTTAAATTATTATAATATTATCAATGATTATAATTATACTGTGATTGTGTCTCAGCAGCACACCTAGTAAATTTATATACATTACAAATTGGATAATAATAATTAAGATCCTTATTTGGCGTGTATTTCCTTTTTATTCTACTTTATTGATAAAAAGGCAGAAATTAATTAATATTAAATAAAACAACAATGTTTTTGATCATGGTATCTATGATACCTGCAAATTTTTTGACAATTCTAGGTTAAGAGGTTGTATTGTATAACAAAAAACGATTGAATTATTTTTATTTTAATAACAAAGTAATATTTTATGTAAATTCTTTTCTAATAAATAATGGCAAGCAGTGTCAAAGGAGTAGGACTTTTCAAGAGAGCCTGGCATGAAATACCTGAGATTGTAGGTAGTAGTTTTATGGGGTTGATAGGAATTGGATGTGCAATTGCAGGAGTTTACAACTACAACAAAAGACACGGCAATGTCCGCAAGTACAAGACTCGTTACACAGTCATTAGATCCGATGATCCCGATATAGAAATAATCAAAGCCAAAAAAGAAGGCCGACTGTAACTTAGCAATGCGAAACATCAATTATCCATCAACCAATTGTAAATGCAGTTATGTTTGTATTTGCAACGTATATTTTCTTTGTATCTGGGAAATCATCTTGAATTTTAAATTCAATGAATTGTAGGTTTTATTAGCAGTAATAAATAATTTTACTATTGTATCTAAGATTATTTCTACTTGTACTCTCTGTATTTGAATTAATAATTAGGGGAATACCATATAACAATTCAGTGTATACTTTTGGGGGCTCATGACCCCCCTACAGTTAATGAGAAATATTACAGCATTATTTAAAGCAGTCAACCAGATATTAATTAATTTTAAATTAATATTAATACATTTCCAACTAAAAAATTGGTTAAACAAAATTGTATACTGATCCTCTACAAGTTTTGTTTGCCATAACTTTTTCACAGAATTATTAGACAAATATGTTAGGAGTCTTATCACTTTTAACAGTGTTTCTGTCTAAAATAAATAATTCTCATTCACAAAACTGAATTTGTATTTTAAAAATAAAAGCATAAAATTTGAATGAAAAGAAAAATGCTAGGGTTAAATTAAAAATTAATTTATAAAGCTTGTTGTTTAGAAGTAATTACTTTCAGTTTATTCTTACAGAAAAAGTTATAATTTTCATGTTTTTGCATTCCTTAAAATAGACGGTAAAATAAGCTTAATAAAATAACTAAATAAAATTAGATATAAAACAATTAATGTATACAATAGATCCCTCTTTCATTTATATATCTACATTCACAGACAGATGTTAACACCAGGAAAAAATTGGACTTTTATCTTGAAATCTTTGCGTAAAACTGAAAAATCGCGATGGTTGCTGACCTTGTGACCTATGAACCAAGGAAATGAGTGGAAAAATAATAAAATCAAAAACAAATTGCTTACTTTTCAACAACTACTGCGGGCATCTGTACTAACTGTACTGGTGATTTTCCATCCTTAAGGGCCTGTGTCAGATTAAGTATCTGACCGCGCATAACAGACATTTGCCTTTCAAATAAACTTTTATCGAATCCTTTATCATGTTTAAAAAGAATATGAAGATCATCACATAAGTCCTAAAAATGAATTGAAACAATTCTTTGTACATTTAAATTAACTTTGTTAAAGAATATTTTAAGAACAATATTTTCAAGTAGCCTTCCTAACAAGACAAGAAAATTAACTCATTAAGAAAAGAAAAAGAAATATGACAAGCGGCTACGGTCTTTTAATAATTTTATTAAACAAAGTGCCGACTTATAAATTTATTTTTCTGAAAATCAATTCTCTTAGAGGAAATGTTTTCTATATACCTGAACAAAATTCATGTCACCCAAAAGTGGTAAGATAAGTTCCCTTGTTTCGCGACTAAAGGGCACCTTTGCCTGAGGTAGCCAGGCCCAATGGTATGGATACGCCCTCCAGCTATCCGGATGCTTATAAGGAAATGCCAAGCCATTGTCGATGGCCGCGATTTTAATTTCTGGTAACTGTACCACGTTCCAGTCTACAGTGTCTGGGGCAGTCTCATTTTGTATAGTCCCGTTACTCGTCGCAGTTACTATCACAGGTGGATCGTACTTGATAAGCCAGTTGTCGTTACCCCGGTCTGTATTACGAATTATATAATCGAGGACCACAAGACGCTCAAATTGAAGTTGAAATTTTTGGGACATGCGACTTGGTAGGGGCTCCACTTCGAACCGACGTAACCAATAATCTGCATCCTGGTAGCCTTCCACAAATAATTGGAAAGATCCGACCTGCCAATTCAAATTGACCATACATTATTTCGTTAAATAAAAAGTGAAATTTGCTTAAAATACTCTGCTGTATTTAAATTGAAACTAGGTAGAAATCAATAAAAAAGTTCACTGAAACAATAATGTAGTATATGTCTAGAGTACAGCTCAAGTCCTACATTATACTGGGCTATGAGCTTTAATTTTAAACCACTCACGAATTCACGTAAAATTAAAAACTATTTACTTATAATTTACCTTGTTTTATTCAATTAACAATTGCATTGTCACATTGCATCTTCTTAAGAAGTTATTTACCTCTTTGGTCAAGTAAACAAAAAAGTTTTGAATAGTTTTGTAACTTACTTTTTATCACATATAATATTTCCTCAGACTTTAAGTGTTAAATGTATATGTGCTACAGATTAACCTCTCATTACCTTTGGTGGAAGTCCTATCCTATTGAATCTCAACCCAACATTTGGAAATTGTTCCATTATAGCTCTTTTCATCCTAGCCTTTTGTCTATCTATCCTAGGATAATGAAATGTTTCTGATACAAGTTTTACAACCTTGAAAATAAAACAAATAAATAAACCATATTTCAATTAAAAAAAAAATATTGCCCAAAGTGCTTACTCTAGTTTTTGGTACAATTTGTAGGTTTAATTTTGCATCAACCAAGTAAGCAGCTGCTTCTGAAAGGTATCCTTGATTCGGAATAAGACAAGATCTTCCAAAACAACAGGGACAACACAATTTGTGCATCCATTTGGTCCATTTTGGATTCAAGCGTCCATAAGGCTCTTCATCTTTTGGCTTAAAAACCCCTATGATTTTCTAAAACAAATATGCTTAATTTTTCAACCAACTTGTGTAGTATAAAATTATTTACCCCTTGAGGATTTTTAACAAAGTATGACCCACTAGATCCTTGTGATATGCGTTCTGGAAATATTCCATTATCAATGGCAACTTCAGCCTGCCACACAAGTTCACTAAAACCAGGGTCATCTGAAATTGCACAGAATTAATTTGGTCAGTGATTTCATTAAAATACATACCTGGAAATTGATTATAAGAAACATCGAGCCCCCCCAGAAGAGGCTGCGATTCTCTGTTGATGCCTGGGGAATCCAATGCGGGCTCAAAAGAAACCTGAGGAACAAGACTAATATCTTCAGCAGAACTTGCTGTGCTGACAACTGCTGCTGTACAGTTAACTTCAGGTTCTCTGTCTTCTGCAGAAGATGTGTCTACTAAAATACCCACAGTTTCTCCAGGACTCATTACACAATAAAGACCAACTTGTTTTTTTCGTTATCATCTATTTAGTTGGATAACAAGAAACTTAAAACTTAACCTAACATTACTACACTAATAAGGTAGTTTCGGAAATAACACAATCAAATCACCACAACGTTACATTTGCATTTCAACTGGACTAGAATTTCGTTAATTAAAAGATGTTCTTTGGACAAACAGATGATATTTTCAAGACGTCAAAATCAGGAAGCAAAAAGATAAGGCTAAAGCGAAAACAATAATGAATAACTGTCATATTAGCATTTTACGTATTAAAAAACTTAAAAGCTTTTAGCTGTTGAAATCACACACAATTTACTATTTTCTTAAACACATATTGAACAATTTGCACGATAAATGAAGATGATTAATATTTAAATAAGTATTAAAACATTACCACTAAATCCACGTAATTGTGGCTATAGTCTCACAAGGGAAGCATCAAGGGAAGTTAATTTAAAGTAAAGGCAGTTTTGTTAAAAAAATATTTCAAAAAAATTAAATTTTCATTATAATTAAGTATAATTCTGTTTTTGTGACATAAATATCTCTTATCTGTTATAGTTAAATATGTTAACCACTTATCATCTCAGACGTCTTAATCAATCTGTGGCAAGGCTCTGTGGACGTGTGTATAAATGAGGTTAAGTTGAAGACAGGATAGAGCAGGGATAGAAATTAATACAAAAAAATGTGTAAAACGAATGCTCCTGTAACAAATTTCTTTTTTCTTGTTTTGTTGTACAATTTTCCTGCCTTGAAAGGTATTTTTGATTATTTTTTTATTGTATATTTTATAAAACATCAAAAGAATTTGTGTCCTTCTCTGATTGGTTGTTGTAATCTTTGTCATAGTAAGGGTTTATTTAAATTTATTGTTATTAATCAAGGGTGAATTTTAAGTTTGGTACGAAAGACATGTTGGGATATAGACTATTAAATACAGATCATCGGGTTCGCCTTCATTCTCATGATGTAAAATATGGAACTGGAAGTGGTCAGCAGTCCGTTACTGGTTTGGATATTCAAGAAGACGTTAACAGCCACTGGATAGTAAAGGCAGCTAATACACAGGCATGTCCAAGAGGGGAGCCTATAAAGTGTGGCTCAACATTAAGATTGGAGCATCTTGCTACAAAAAAGAATCTACATTCACATTACTTTTCTAGCCCACTTTCAGGCTCTCAAGAAATCAGTTGTTATGGGGATGATGAAGGCGAGGGCGATTCAGGAGATAACTGGATTGTTGTTTGTTCAGGTAAAAATAAAGTTTTAAGGAAATGCCAATGTTGCAGCATTGAAATTTTATATCACATGATTTAACATTCTTAATTGTTATCCCAGCACTAAGTGAAGATAAATATTTTATTTTAGGGGATTATTGGTTAAGGGATGATAGTGTAATGCTTAAGCATAAAGATACAGATCAGTATCTTGCAGCCTCAGGCAGAACGTTTGGTAGGCCTATTAATGGACAAATGGAAATTGTAGGATTAGAATCATCAAGTGGTTCTGTTCACTGGCAAGCTGCAGAAGGAATTTACTTACATGCACCTGATTTTGCAGCTAAACATGTGCATACAGAGCTGTAGAATAGGATTTTTTGTTTATTTTCAATGTATTTTGTTTTTAATTATTTATTAAAAGTTGTTAGGCAATATAAAGACTTTCCTTCTTTAGCAACAATTTTAATTTAATTATCCTGGAAGATGTGTTGTAATTTTGATTTGTTGTTTTGTATTATATTTAATAAAAGTATAATTACATTTATTTATTTGCGTTGTTTNAAGCCGTTTCGATTTAGTTTTTATGAAAACACGTAAAATATTTGAATATAAAACGCGCTCGTAAAATTTTGACATGTTAAACAATTATTCTGAGTGTTATCATAGTTGAATGATATATAAAAATGTATGTAGAATTTAGTGGTGATAATGGTTTTTGAGTGCGGTTTGAAATAAAGCCTTTTGGATTTGGTTTTTATGAAAACACGTAAAACATCTGAATATAAAACGCGCTCGTAAAATTTCGATTTGTTAAACAATTATTTAAAATGTGTTAATAGTTAAAAGACAAGTAAAAATGTATGTAGAATTTAGTGGTGATAATAGTTTTTGAGTGCGGTTTGAAATAAAGCCTTTTTAATTTGGTTTTTATGAAAACACTTAAAACATTTGAATATAAAACGCGCTTGTAAAATTTCGATTTGTTAAACAATTATTTTGAATGTGTTAATAGTTAAAATACATGTAAAAATGTATGTAGAATTTAGTGGTGATAATGGTTTTTGAGTGCGGTCTGAAATAAAGCCGTTTCGATTTAGTTTTTATGAAAACACGTAAAATATTTGAATATAAAACGCGCTCGTAAAATTTTGACATGTTAAACAATTATTCTGAGTGTTATCATAGTTGAATGATATATAAAAATGTATGTAGAATTTAGTGGTGATAATGGTTTTTGAGTGCGGTTTGAAATAAAGCCTTTTGGATTTGGTTTTTATGAAAACACGTAAAACATCTGAATATAAAACGCGCTCGTAAAATTTCGATTTGTTAAACAATTATTTAAAATGTGTTAATAGTTAAAAGACAAGTAAAAATGTATGTAGAATTTAGTGGTGATAATAGTTTTTGAGTGCGGTTTGAAATAAAGCCTTTTTAATTTGGTTTTTATGAAAACACTTAAAACATTTGAATATAAAACGCGCTTGTAAAATTTCGATTTGTTAAACAATTATTTTGAATGTGTTAATAGTTAAAATACATGTAAAAATGTATGTAGAATTTAGTGGTGATAATGGTTTTTGAGTGCGGTCTGAAATAAAGCCGTTTCGATTTAGTTTTTATGAAAACACGTAAAATATTTGAATATAAAACGCGCTCGTAAAATTTTGACATGTTAAACAATTATTCTGAGTGTTATCATAGTTGAATGATATATAAAAATGTATGTAGAATTTAGTGGTGATAATGGTTTTTGAGTGCGGTTTGAAATAAAGCCTTTTGGATTTGGTTTTTATGAAAACACGTAAAACATCTGAATATAAAACGCGCTCGTAAAATTTCGATTTGTTAAACAATTATTTAAAATGTGTTAATAGTTAAAAGACAAGTAAAAATGTATGTAGAATTTAGTGGTGATAATAGTTTTTGAGTGCGGTTTGAAATAAAGCCTTTTTAATTTGGTTTTTATGAAAACACTTAAAACATTTGAATATAAAACGCGCTTGTAAAATTTCGATTTGTTAAACAATTATTTTGAATGTGTTAATAGTTAAAATACATGTAAAAATGTATGTAGAATTTAGTGGTGATAATGGTTTTTGAGTGCGGTCTGAAATAAAGCCGTTTCGATTTAGTTTTTATGAAAACACGTAAAATATTTGAATATAAAACGCGCTCGTAAAATTTTGACATGTTAAACAATTATTCTGAGTGTTATCATAGTTGAATGATATGTAAAAATGTATGTAGAATTTAGTGGTGATAATGGTTTTTGAGTGCGGTTTGAAATAACGTCTTTTAGATTTGGTTTTTATGAAAACACTTAAAACATTTGAATATAAATCGCGCTCGTTAAATTTCGATTTGTTAAACAATTATTTTGAATGTGTTAATAGTTAAAATACATGTAAAAATGTATGTAGAATTTAGTGGTGATAATAGTTTTTGAGTGCGGTCTGAAATTAAGCCTTTTCGACTTGGTTTTTACGAAAACACGTAAAACATTTGAATATAAAACGCGCTCGTAAAACAATTACTCTGAATGTTCTAATAGTTTGATTAAACTATACATAAATATTCATGGATATATTTACCTTAATGGGTTGTCCTTTTACGTGTACAACCAACAAAAATTTTCCGGCGATATCCGGCGTGAAGTAAATTTTATACGTTCCATCGCGATTGTCTTCGATTTTAACATTCACTGAAGACTTTGTAGCTCCGCTATCGCGATGCCTGAGATCGGCGTAGACTTTTTCTCCTACAAAACGAAGCAAAAGAAAATTAAAATACTTTTCTTTCTTTTTTACATTACCTTAGATAAGAAATTTGATAAACTTACCGCCCCTTTGTAAAGGAGCATCGCTACTATCTTTTGATTCTAAAATTGCTTCCGCCTTTTGACCAACTCTTAGCTGTTGCAAACCTACAAAAATTTAATCGATTAAGTTTGGTACGAAAGACATGTTGGGATATAGTTATCGGATTAGAGAATAATTTCTTGTATTTTACCTTCAACGTTTAAAACACAGTTTTTGGGGAAAACACTTTGGGTTGTTACAACACCGTATAACACACAGTTCCCATCATTGTTGGGAGCGATTTCTTCCGGTAAGAATTGTAAACTATCGGATACCTTTAAATTATTAACTTTCTTAAGTCTGTTACACTGGTCTAATTTCTTTGAAATCGGTTTTACAAAACTAAGCAATTCTACATCGGTAGCTTCACTTAAAAGTTCGTCCGTGAACGTTACCACATCTTTGGCTTCTTTAAGTCTTTTCTGTAACGCAATTTGATGTTGTTCTATGACCCTTAGACGCTCTTCTTTGGCTTGATTAACCTTTAAAGAAAAATACACCTTTTTTCTTTTCTTTTTCTTATGTTTTAATGATAAACAATCCCTCACCTGATTGGTAAGGTATGCTTTGTGATTATTAATTTCTTTTATGTACGAATCTATAAATTGTTCTATTTCTGATTGGACTTGACTACACCTCGCTTGTATTCTTTTAGCGTCTGTTTGAAGTCTTAACGTTAACGCTTCTGTTTGTTCTGCGGAAGTTCGAGCTTGTTTTAGGCCATCTTTTATATTTCCCACGTGGAATTTAATCGCTTTTGGAATTGATTCGAACTGGTGACCTTTATGGGAGGCTGCCATACAATCGTGACATATGACCTGCAAACGAATTATAACAAAAAAAATCCAAATTTTCGAAATTTTAAAATATACGTTCTTATTATTAAACTGAAAATTTGAAATATTAAAATGTTTTATTCCAAGAAAAAATTACAGTGTAAACTCTTTATAACGTCACTCGATTTAACGACAAACTCCTTAAAACGTCGAAATTGCTTGACTTCGGTTGGTTTACATTGTTTTCTATACAATATTACACTCTATATAGCGTCACGCTCACTCTATTTAACGACAACAATGCGGCATTATANAATGGTGCGTGGCTCACCCGTGACCCATGCAAAAAAAGGCTGGCTATGATCCTGTTCATACATTACGTTTCCAACTTGTGAGATAACCGTGATTACGCGATCTTGACGTAACACATATACTTACGAATATAAACGATTATTTGTGCTTTTTAAACGGTTAAGGTAAATAACGTTGTAAATAATAATCTTAAGGTTACAGTGACACCGACGATGTTTAATATTTGCATTTTTGATAGAGAAAGCATTGTATTCAAGATAATTTTCCGTTAGTACTAACACCATGTAATAAAACGGACCAAAAGGTACCCCTTATACAAGAGAAAATGATTAGGACGAAGGCAATACGTATTACTTTATTAGAAAACAGAAACACTTTTTTTTCTGTGTTTATTTTTAAATTGTAATTCTTTCTGTCTTTGTTTTAATCTTTGTTTTGTTCATTAAGTCATAAATTTGGTCTTGGTGTTGCATATTCGGTCTCGGTTTTAGTCTTGGTCTTGTTCGTTCGGCTTTGGTTTTAGTCTTGGTCTTGTTCGTTCGGCTTTGATCGTGCTAGTATAAAGACACTGTTGGTCTGTGTCTTGTTCCTGCATTTTCGCAAGACAAAGACTAAGACTGCAAGACCAAAATCAATTTCGCTTATCACTAATCAAGATAGATATTTGTTTTTTTTTTTTTTGAAACGTACCTGAAAACAACTAACACAAAAACTAGACAGATCCTTTTCCGTGTGTATGGGACACATAATTTGTCTACGTATCCTTATCCCTCTTTTCCTGGCTTCGTCCACCGTAAGGATTTCGTGGGAATTTTTTTGTCTACAGTGCATTTCGGCGCAATGGCTGCATAAGCTTATGGCACATTGAGTACATCGATATGTAGCCTAATCAGATCAATAAAATATCGTTTAGACATCGATATTCATTGCATTTCTAGTTGTATAAACTTAAATTACGAGATACAATTATGATGATTTTACAAAGTATTAGATATAAATAAATATCTGTACTTTATTTTTGATCTTTGTAAAATAAATTGCAAAGTTCCACACTGTACTTTGTTACTGAATTCGAATCTGTCCTCAGAATTGCCCCAATACATCAAAATTTTGAAATATTAAAACACCAGTGATGGTTCATGAAATTACAATGTGAAAAATACGGTTTTCCACGGCGAACTGGAATCTGTCTCCAAAATTACCATAGCACATTGAAAGCCAAATTGGCATCATTAAGATTTTGAGAACAAGCTTTCATGATAGCCTGAAATGCCTAATTGGCATCATTAGAATTCTGAGAACAAGATATTATGATAGTCTGAAGTGTCAAATTGGTATCATTAGAATTCTGAGAACAAGATATCATGATAGCCTGAAGTGCCAAATTGGCATCATTGTGATTTTGAGAGTAGGATATCATGATACTCTGATGTTCTGGAGTAATTTTGATAATAGATTTGTAGTCGGGGTGAAAAGTTGATTGATCTCTATTTAAAGATAAAGTAATATAAATACATGATGAACTAATATAATTTTTGATAAATAATAACAGATCAATATGTAATGGATCCAAATAAATTAATATCATCCAAAACTTCATAAAAAAAGGTTCCTAAGTGTAATATTCGGGGTTCCCAAGTTAAAGACTTAGAAATTTTTGTGTGGACTTTTGTTTTAATTCTTACTGTAGTTTCTGAAGTACATGGATCACAAAGCAATTTTGTTGTGACTGCATTGAGTGTTGCAAGAACCATTCGGTGTTGGAGAAGGTAATGAGGCGGAAGGCCTAAAACACCTCCTGCTGGAAGTGGAGACCTTACTCCACAAATAGGACAGGAAATACCCTTGCCGGCAGGGGGTACGCATACGGGATCTGATGAGTCCCGTTTATCACTTTCGTATCCGGAACCTCCTGATCCAGAGCCATGTCTCGTCGAATCTGAACCATCTGTTCTTGAGTTCGACGATACTACGTAATAAAAAGTGAGATATAAATAGAAAAGGTTACCGATTTCTTTTGGTTCAACGTGTGTACTATGAAGGATTAGAATATTATGACTTGACTTTAAAAAACAGCCAATTTATCTTAATTTTTTTTCGGAAAGATCAATCGGAACGCTCTTTTAAGCGACACTATTACTATCATAAATTTTCACTACAGCATTCAATATTATACTACGGAAAATCGCAAAAACAAAAACGGTTTGGTTAAAACCATAAGGACACAGCAGAAAAAGACAACACGTACGAAGTATTTATGTAATTTGACATCGTCCTCTGAGATTGTAAGAGATATATTACAAGCGAGCTTAGCATTTAGAACATTCGAATTATGGATGCCTGTAAATTTGATGCTTTTTACGCCGTTTTCACAGGTCAATTCCAAATTATATTAAAAGTTGCAAAAGTCGATAAATCAAATTATATCCAAATCCATGTAGTACCCTCATATGTTTTTGGGAGTTTATCGAAATAAAAACTCTAGACTGTAATGATAGTAAAATCCTTTGCTAAAGTACTGCACCTCTGTCTTATAAACAATTTTCTATCTATGTCCTACAGTACATTTTTTTAAGCCAATTACAGTGTGACGTCTAGTTGCAAAACTAAAACGTATCTAAGGATTCTTTTGATAATCACTTTTCCTAATTCAGTTACTAGCAGCATAAGGCTTCGTTGTTCGATTTATAATACGTTGTAAGGTTGCTGTATGAACTTATTTTTTTGTTTTGTCCCAGCCGATTTTGAAATCAGTCTGGCAACTGAAAAACGTTCATTACGAAATTTAATTAATTTTCGTTCAGTTTTGAACGTTTTAACTCGAAGCCAAGGGAACATTTAAAGTTAAAACGACAAAAACCAGACACGGATTTGTTGATATGGTTTGGTAAACTTTGGAAACATAAAATTATTCCGTTTTGATTTTATGTCTTTTGCTGGCGCCACAATCTAAAATCTCGGCTTCTAAACGTCAACTATTCATTACATTTAATGGTTTGAAAACATATATTTTAAGAGTTACATCCATATTTTATGAATTACATGACATAACACCAGAGACGTAACGAGACGGGGATGTTAGAGGTGTTACAACCCCAGTTTTCTACGGGGTGCCAAGCAATCTTGGAATGATTCTATGATGATATTGATTGTATAATGATTTTTTTCTTAAAATATCAATAATTATTCCTTAATAAATACCTAAACACTCAACGTATTTTTGTTACATTTATTAAAGTCGGTTAGTAGAGATGTACTAATTAGTTTGTTATAAGTATTTATATACAAATAACAAACAATATTTTGACTTTCTGTTTCAAATGTAAAATGCAAATTAGCTTTTCCCGGAAAATAATATCGAGTTTACAATGCTTTGGATTATCCATTTCCACGAAGTTAAAAACTTTTTAAGCTGTCTTCAGTTCCAGTATTACTCCTTGTTTGTTTTTAAGATTGTAATACTTTCAATGACCAGGGTGAGCAATTTTCGTCTATTTTAGATAACTTTTGATAAATAAATATTTCTCAAAAGAAGTGTTTAAATGCAAAATAGAAATAGGTAAGTAAGTATTTCAAATGACTTAACATCTCCATCCGTTGGAAATTATTGTCAAATACTGGTAAATTATTAATCATTTTTATCAAATGTTTACTTCATTATTAATGTTTATCGATAATTATTTATGAATAGTGCCAAGATTTGTTGATTTACCGAAACAGTTCTGAATCTACACGTTGAAAAGTGCGTGTAAAGTTGATGACTTACCATCCGATCCACTGCCCCATACGTTGAGATCTTGCGCTTCCATTTGCTGCAAACATTTTGTACAAAACGTATGTAAACACGGAAGTACTCTCGGTTCTAAAAAAAATCGTTTGCACGACGGGCACTTGTATTTATTTTCGTCGGGTACAGTGTCATAAACGCTGCAAGCCCTGGTCGCTTGCGGCTCTTTTTTCTCCGTTGCGGCATGCGGTGCCGAATTGGATCGGTCATGGTAAATTTTCAGGGTGTTTTCCGTCCGTTTTTTCGAAAATCCAACCTCCTGACTCTGACGACGTCTTGAGAAACTTCCGAAAATATATGACATGTGATCCACCACCTCTGTCATGTTCTGTACTTGTTGAAACTCGGGCTCTGCAAACAGAAATAGAAACGGTCATATTTTATTCCCGTTATAAAGTACCACTGAAACTGAAATAGCTCGCGCATAGTGTTGTACTTTCAATTAGTTTCAAAAGAGTTTGCATTTTCACTTACCAAGTAGACAAATTGTTGCCGAATTCGAAAATATTATTCTATTCTACTACCTCGCAAAATGCACAAAACTTTTTACGGTACCAAGCAACAATTATTGGGAAATACAACTCATAATTGTTTCACAGTATAAAAATTTAGAATTAAATACAGTCAAGTTGCTGTAACTAGAACTTTTATTACTGTACTCAAAATCTTGAAATATTTTTTACGTATTGTTTTACTTTTTTTCAAAAATCTTTCATTTCTCTAACTGTAGATTCGAGTGCGACTTTCACATTACATTAAATTGCCCTTTTAATTCGAATTTCTATTAATTTTCTTTGGAAAAATTAGCCCATCAACCCGATAATGTAATCAATGAGTCAAGTTTTTAAGCGAAACTATATACTACAATCATAAATTCACACTATGGCATTGAGTATTACATCATTTATCGTAGGAAAAGACAACACGGACGAAGTATGTACTTTTATTATCAACAGTTGAGACGTTATATATAGTAGAAATTTTCCCTAATTCGACTTTTTTCTATCTGGAACAAAACTGATTGTACTTAGGAAAACTGGAATGGACGATGAAACTTGTACCTAATAAAATTTTAAATCATTATATTTAAATAAAATGAAAGCGCTATTGACAAAACAGTAATGTATGAAAATAAACAACAGTAAAACACAAATACTGGTATGCAAAAGAAGAAAAGGTAGGAGACGAAAAATTAGAAGAAGTGGCTGATTTTCGGTATCTAGGAAGTCAGGTAAGTCAGAACGGAAGGAGTAGTAGGGATATAAAGCAGAGGATAGCGCAGGGTCGAATCGCCTTCAATAAAAAGAAGTCACTTCTATGCTCGCGAATGGTTAATTTAGAAATTCGAAAAGGGTTGTTAAAGGTGTATGCTTGGAGGGTGGCGCTGTACGGATGCGAAATATGGACGGTGGGCGCTGCGGAAAACAAAAATGTGGTGTTATAGGCGGATGATGAGGATATCGTGGGTAGAAATGAAGAGGTATTGAAAAGAGTAGGAGAACAGAGGACTCTATAGAAGTCAATAAGAAATAGACGAGATAGATTGGTAGGACACCTTCTCACGAATGAAGGTCTAGTCAGAGACATATTAGAGCCAGAAACGGGAGTTAGGAGAGGTACAGGTAGACCTAGATTACATTACTGTTAAGAAAGAGTGGAGGTGCATGTCCAGCCAGTCTTAGGACTGATGTCCTTATGATGATGATTTTGATTTATTATGATATCAACTTTACCTCACTTTCACTTTTTTGAAGAAAAAAATTACAGTTGATTTTTTTTCTGTTTTTTTTATTTGCAGTAGGTACAGTGTGAAGCATGGATTGAATTATAAACTTGACCTATTTTGAAACCATGTTGCGGTTAAAATAGACACATAAAGCAACACCTTCTTCTCCTGTTTCATTTTGTCTCTGAGTAATGACCTGTCACTAACAGACGGAGTTAAATTCTATCGAATTTCGCGTTGTTATTTATTAGCGTCGTTGCGTACCATCAACGCGTTGCGTTTGAATTGTGCGAAGGGCAGTTGAGGAAATTCTTGGGAAAGGTCAAACCGAAATTTTCTAACGATAATATGAATCAGTATCGAAATATTTGGGTAGGTACTCAAAATACTGTGGCTAATAAATATACTAGGGGAATTATCTCATTAAAATTTTTGTATGCAATTCCTAAGTTTCCAGTATCCGTTTCCAAATAAAAATTAATGCAATATTTTGAATATTGAGTGCTCAATTCATCAAGTATCAAGATTTGAGATATTCAACTGTTTGATTACCCTTCTATTTGATTGAATATTTGGATATTACCTATGAATTTTCACGAAGAACTACTAGAAAATAACATAATCAAATGGCAAAAACTAATTTTTTGAAATAACAAAAGTTCTTAATTGATTCTTATTGTACTTAATGTTTACAATTCTTGTATGTACCTGTAGACTCTTTTGTGCTTTTCAACACTACCAAACGGAAATAATGATATATAACGTCCTTATGAAATAAAGCAGATCTATAAATATAACAACAACAAAGAAATAGTATTCATTACTGCATACAACAAGCAATTATACGTTAGTTTGATGTCGTCTAAAAGCCCTTAGTTATAGCGCCAGCTTCTCGTAATACCTAATTAAAGTTTCAAAATTAAAACTGCATCTCCTTTTCATCATAAGTCATAACTCATAAGCATAGCGTTAAAATAGAACTAATCATAATGTTGAAGCATTATTGTTAAAATATCGACATTTTAACAATGACATTTTTGAACTTCTGCAAAATTTTATTTTCCTAATTAAGATTCCTACCGTCTATTTGAAATTTATTAATTTTTTTATCTTAAAAACAACATTTATTTCTAACATAAGTAGCTTTATCCTAAAGAAAATGTTCTAAAAAGCGTTAATAACAGAAATAAAACTTGTGTACATAAAAAAGAATTCTTTCAAGCTGATTATTATCCACGTTTTCATTCATTGTACTAATTCTTGATTATGCTTACGCTTTCTAAAAAGGCATTTTAGATTTTAATACCACATTCACAACGTGAACAACGATATGAAGTGTTTTCATACATATTAATCAATTAATTAATACGTAACGTTAGTCTATCACCTTACATAAAGTGTTTGAGATATTGCCATCTGTTTTTAAACATCTTATTGCTTCATTTAACAAATTCACGTATAGAACATTGCAATAAATGCTTCAGTCGCTGATACAAGTAATGAATAAATGATTTAATTAAAATATGGAATGTGCAGTTTTGATTGGCTGTTGATTAGTTGCTTTAATACGAACATATAGGAAGTGTGTTGAGTTGTTAGCAAATATAAAGCAATAAGCAAGCTATGCAAATTAGCACAGGTAAAAAGTTGCTGATCAGGTTTAGACAATTTGCATAGGTTTGGAAAAACAGAAAGAATGCTGCCAAAACCAACGTAAAAGACAAGAAAAAATTGCTGTTGTTTTATATTTAAGGAATAAGATTATCAAATGTATTAAACTGTAGAAGAATTAAAAAGCAATTTATCTACTATTACAAATTACATAATTAGATTACAATTGCCCAATAACATGAATGAATATTTGTTCAATATCTATCGTCAAAATAGTTACACTAGCTTTTATATATAAATACTTTAAACTATCTATCTCTTTTGAGTTCAATTTTGTTTTATTTATTATTAAACACATAAATTCGGTTAAAATTACCTCAAAATTTTATATCCTTGTCTGCCACTCTAAAAAAATGCAGTATTCCTTGTTCTACAACAATACTATCACTGTGCACAACAAAACCGACGCTTAGCGTCCAATTTCGACGCCGTATAGGAACGCACTGAACATTGAAGCAAGTTTGTTATGTCGGGACGAGCTCATACTGTGGAAGACATACAAGTGACTGACGACTTATGGCTTATTACTATGACATTTCTTCCATGGTTTTCTTTAACATCTTTCTAACATACAATTAATTATCAAACGAAAAAATTAAAAGTTTAATAAATAGTTTTGGAAATGGTAAACGGATTCTGAGAAAATCAAATGTGGTTGTAAAATAGTTAATTTAGGCATTACTTACCTAAATAAACATTTGGCAATCCTTAAAAAACTGATATTAAAAATAATTTTTATAAAACAAAAACACTTTCAGCATGAGTTTGCGATCTCTATGTCGGACAAATTATTTAGGAGAAAACAGAAGAACCATTTTGAAATTGCTTTTTTATTGTAAAAAATGAACATTTCTAATTTATTAGTTGGTGGGTTGTTGCTTTTCGGTTTTTCTTTGCTTACTGGGCGTTATTTTTATTGAAGCTTCAGGTACATTCATGAATAAAATCCACCCTTTTTCAATTTTCTTTAAAAGCGAACAAACTAAGTTAGAATTAAACGCCCATTTGGAAATAGGTTTACAAAAAACATCAGACTATCCAAAAATGTTCAAGAAAACTTTCCAATTCATTTTCCATTGCTGTTAAACTGTGTGGTTGATCTTTATTTAAGTTGGGGATGCATCTAAACAATATCCAGAGGATTTGGTCCTCCTATCGAAGTCTTGAGCTTGTTATCTAACTCTACTGATGGATATAATTGCTAAGCCGCTTCCCCAAGGAAATGTCACTTTCTACTGGTTGAAAAAGTGATGAAAGAGGAAGAAATAAACATAATATGGTCTGAGTTTTGAGTTATGTGAGATTACATTGTCATTTTTACAGAAGTCAAGACGTTTTGAGCTACATGGAACTTATAATCTACAACTAACTTATGGACTGACGAAAGAAAATATTGATAAAGTTCCCAAGAGAGCTTCTCGTAATAAAAAGTTTCTCCATGGGAGTTTTTATTGTGTTTTTTAAGTAGTGGGATGAACATTGGAAATGGGTTTGTAGACACTGTATTCTATAGCGGAAAAGCTTCAAGGAAATTAAATTTGGAGTGGAATTTATCTGAAATGAAAATGTTACCTTGGCAATCGTAACAGAACGAGTAGAACCGAGCATTATTCGTTTCTGTTGGATAATGAAAATGAATAAGTCAAATTTAGTTGGCTCATCTCATGCAATTGCTGTGATACTTTCGTGCAATTTCATATCCAAGCATATGAGTAACAATGTGACAATGGAAAATTAAACGGATTCATTACAACTGATTTTATTTTAAATAATTTCGTAAGTTTATAAAAGTAATTTACTCTCATGTTAGTTAAATCGAAATGAATCTGGCTCTTCTTTATGTTATTTGCAAAATCATCTGTACAGATTTTTTTTTGATATGTGTGTAACAATTCGTATAGTCCAGTTTAAATATGTAATTCGACTTTTAAGTTTTCACCGTTCAATATCACCACAATGTCGTGTCTATCTCGTTTAATTTGTGCCCAAGTTATTTCCCAACCTTTTCATTTAAAGTATATTTGATTGTAACTTTTAAAAACAAATTTTCACACATCCATGTTTTCAGAAAATTTATCTAAAACTATTCAAAAGTAATATTTTTATAAAATCAGTTTCT